TTGCAGCTGATCAACTGATAGTGCCCTTTAAATAGTTTAAAAAATGTATTCTTGAGAAAGATTGCGAGGTATTTTGATGGTAGTAAAGGCTCAGCAATTTACATGTACTGTGTTTAGTACTCTCCATCCCAAAACTCCCAAAGCACTTCACATACTGTAAAGGAGACCCACTTCTGAAGTGTGGCCCCCACACGGATGATACACAGCAGCCTGAAAAGACAGTCAGGAGTCTGTCTCAGAAGTTAAAAGAAGTTTTTATTTCACGTGCATGGGAACAAAACACACAGATGCGCAGTGTATTTTTCTCAAAGTAATAAACCTAGAACAGTCATTAAATATTTTTCTGTTATCTATCACACTTTCCTGTGCTTACAAGATTGGCTGTGTTCCAAAATCATACATCCTCCTATCTCCCTATTTGCTAAAGATAACTTATATTAATACAATTGGTCACTTAGATTCGTAACACGCATTCCTACTCAATGGTATAGGAATGGTATAAGGTATGGTAGCCCTTATGTCCACTCAAGTATTACCGTACGCTGTATCGAAGTACATAGGCTTAAAATATCTAATTTTATTAAAATAGAAAATATGACAACAGATCTCAAGCTTTCTGAAACCAAATACATAAATTACAGGTTTATGTAATTTACACAAAAAATGGTAAAAAAAACCTTTTTTTATTTTTTCATTTTATTTCAAATTTTTCTGTGCACACAACAAATTTCCATGGTCATTTGGTATACCACCTGGGGGCGCTCCACATACCGCCAGTGGTACACGTACTACAGTTTGACAACCACTGCTTTAAACCATTAAGGGAGGAAAAGAAAATGTAGTTGGGTCCAATTGTACAAGCCCAAGGTGGAATTTAACCAGGAAAGTGGGATTAACCTTGGGATCTTCACTGGCAAAGTAATTAGAATCTTTGTTTAACAACTCATCCTAAAGACATTACCTCCTACAGTGCAGTGTGCCCAGTACCATACTAGGGTAGTAGGCCATTGGCTTTGGAAATTCTGATCCAAAAAGGAGAGCAGAGCCTAGTGGTTGACAAACAAGTTTTCCTTGGACATTTCCCCATTTCACCACAGACCAAGCTGCATCTTATTTAGTGTTAGAACTGCAAAGTGATTATGGCTCATTGCTGCTAATGCAGAGACAGCTAAGTGTCTCCTTTTTCTTTGAATGGCAGATAAGAGAGCGATACTTGCCTTTGCTGCGTGAGTCACAGTCCTTGCTATCTCCTCTGGAGGAAACAGAGAAGCAGATAACCAGTTTCTATCAGTCTCTGGAGAAGGCCAGCCACATCACTGCTGGCAGAGACTCTGAAGCCTCTGGGGACTTCAAGCAGAAGTGTCAGGTGAGAAATAACGATCTGGTCACCATGGATACTAACAAGGTAGGGGATTACTGTGTAGACATTGTGTGTGCTTGTCTGATAAAAATGGTTTAACTCTTAATCCGTATGACATAACACCCTGTTTTTATTTAAGGGGTTTCAATAGTCATAAAAATAAACCAAATCCCAACAGTAGAAAGGTTCTATTCAATTTACTAAATAAAACAAAAACAATATTTACTAAAAAGACAGGCTTTGACTCAAAACAACTCTGAACACACAGAAACTTACTTCCTTCTATCAAGCAGAACTCCACCATACTAATTAGTTCTGTCCCAAGGGCCAGGTTTAAATGCTCTAGGCCCCACCCAACTCCCTCTGATGGACAGGTAACTTTCCATTTATGTAGTGGTCAAGCATGGTATAACAGGTTTCAAAATGGTGGAATATACAAAAGGCAAACAGAGGACAATTGTGCATCCACACATAAAACATTCAAACACAACCACAACTAATAATAAGACAATCATCAGTGTTTTCATGATTCTATCCTTGCTTAATTATCCAGGTAAGTACTGTGTGTGTATATGAAAGAACTTGCAAAAAAAAAAGAAGGCCTTGTGAAAAAAAACAGGGAAAACAAAATAGTATTTCTTTACAATCTGCCAATTTAGGCTTTTGTTATTCAGGGAAAGGTGCGTTTCTTTCTTTTTAAACTGCTGTTAACAAAACCGTGTGCTCAATAAATTGCAGAAGCTCTTCTGACATGTCCTGTGAAGAAATGGAGCTGGCACAGACAGTAGTTAACAAAAGTACAGTAGCTCCAAGATGCTCCAAGCATGTTTTTTTTTTTGCTAAAGCTTGCTAGCTATAAACGTTCATTAACTTAATTCATGGATTTGTATTAGTGGTCTCATTTCAGTGTTTAGATGATTGTATTGGGCACATTGTTTTAACAGAATAGCATATATGAAAAATGTTACTTTGCAAAGACAACAATAAGCTTTATGGATCATTTCTCTACATTGGAAAATGTTTGGTTTTTTATGGAGTGATGACTGAGTTGGGATTAGATTCTGAACAAAAAAGCCAGAAATATGTACATTTTTAGAAAAATATACATCCTCCAACTTGTGTACCCATGTGGTTAAATGCATTAAAATGTAGAAATTTAAATCTACAGAAATTAAGGCTTCAGTGAATTTCCTGTTTTCAGTGCTGCTGGGTTGACTATTGCCATTTGATATGATGTCTGAAAGTTGTTCCATGTACAGTATGTCTCTACAGGGCTGTCCGATGTGTCAGTCTACCTGTAGAGATTCCTGTAAATAGCTTCCAACCAAAACTATGGTTTTTTGAAATTTTTCTGGCCCATTACGTTGAGTAACTCCCCTTGTTGGGGAATGTGTGCATACTTTGATCGTACATGTTTTATGGAATGTTCATTTGCATGCGTGTTTATTTCTTTGTTCATGGATTCCAGGAGTTACTTATTTGCCAACAAAACTGCAAGAAATCTTTAGCACTGATTGAGAAGAACAACCAAGCTATTCAGAGGACCCTGGCCAGCAGCAAGACCCTGCGGCAGTTCGATAAGGCTCTTCTTCAAAAGAGGGTAACTGAGCTGCAGGCCACTTCCCAGGTTAGCCACTTTACAGTTTCCAGCTTCGGCCACCTGATCTCTATCTCCGAGATCTTTTCAGGTGTAAAATGTCTCTTCTGAGAGCAGGATAGACTGAAACCTTTTTCCAAATACCAGATGTTTGATGATCAAGTTATTTTGTTTTCTCCAAACAGCAGCTTCTCATATTGACACAAGCTATACTCTACTGTTTCTGAAATGTTCCATAACATTTTTGTGCCCTGCTTTTGAAGAAGATCAGGATAAAAAAAAAAAATGATATGCATATGAGTCAGAATGTCATGTGTTAAGGCACACATTTTGCCGAAGAATGTCACATTGAAGAGGAACAATACATGAATGCAATTACACCACCTGCCTTTTTGAATGGCCTTACTTTCTTTATTGTCCCCATTTATAAATTTGGTATGTTCTTTGGTATTTTCTGATTTCCGCATCATACTGGAATCATGTCATCTAAATAAGCTGCTTATTCTAATAATCAACCCATTCTATGAATAAGAAACACACTTTCATGTTTTATAAATCTGTGGGTGATGCGTAATTCAAAATGAATAATTAAGAACATTGTCAAATATCATTGGTTTGCTCATACTTGCATTCTTAATAACAGTCTCATTTTTTACCATCCAGGAGCAGAGACTGTTTGTCCTATTTCTCATTTTTCATCAGTAAATCAAATTCCATGCATCCTTTATTATCATGGTTGGATAAGCTGTGTTTTTGCTCTTGAACACTTGCTTTTCTCCTTAGAATAGAGGTTACGTTTTTTAGAAGAGCCACAATTCCCCAAACACCTTCTTGCTGTAATTTCTCAGCATTCAGCTACTGTACCTCCTACAATAACTCTTATGCTGTATTGCACTTGTATTTTAAATGCCAAGCTAGCAATGTACAGTAAATGGCAAAGTGCACGTATTCGCTGTAAATATGGTACACATACTGTACCACCAACATACAGTAACTGGCAATTGTCATGTGTTTGTGCTGAGACAGGCCATTCTTTTTCCATCTGGCTCTGAAAATTAAAAGCTGTTTAATACTGTATCATCTACAGTCCAGATGATTTTAATTAGATGTATCCAGTTATTGGGTGTTTTATAAGAGTTCTTAAACTGCTGTGAACTAAATGCCACACTTAAATATTTAAGCAATTTTATTTTTGATGGTTTGAAAATGTTGTCTGAATATTCCTCTATATGCCTTTGTTCTATCCCTGTGAGATGTTGTAATGAGATTGTGTGTTTCCTGGGACAGCAGCATGAGTATTAATAGAACCAGTATAATGAGCTCTAATGATAATGTTACAGAGATGTGTGACCAATCAGCTCAGCTCTTCTTTTGTTCAGTCATCCTCCTCCCTGTTCACCCTCTGTTTACTACAAGTCCAAAAACATGGCCAGCAGCCATAAAGTACTGTAAGTCTGTTTGTGCACCTTTAATTCTTAATACAATAATATTTACATAATGGAGCAAGGGGAAGATCATCCTTATTCACTAAATGTGAATTGAAAAGTACACATCCCCACTTCTATGATATGGTATTTGATTTAAATTTGATATTTTGTATTAAGAGCACATTCATATACTGAGGAGTTTCATTGATTTGTAAAACAGATACACATCTAACACTGCACTGGACAGTTTCAGGGTCTTTTACAGTAGGTTATATCATAATGCATGTATTGGCAGATGCTTGTCAGCTTGCTGTGGTGTCTCAGTAGCAGCCTAGTAACTAGCAGTGACAAGTGACTGCTGGTCACTAGCAGAGTTCAGTAGCTAGTGGTGGTGTGCTGGGCCAGTTTCAGCAGCTTTGCTTGCCCTCTGTCTGTGTCAGGCCATGGTGAAGGAGGCTGGGGAGTGGAGGAGACACGCTGAAGCCAACAGTAGCCTGATGAAGAGATTTGAGGAGTCCAGGATTGAGCTGGAGAAGGTTCTCAAGATTGCTCAGTCATCTTTGACAGAAAGAGGAAATCCAGAAGAATTGCTCAAGAAACACACCGTAAGAAAAAAAACACATTTGTTTACCTTACAGAATACCTACATCATGTGTTTCTGTTAGTATTATTTAAGTTAATTGAGGTTTTAATTATTTTTTTTGTTTCATTATGCAGTTCTGAGTTAGAGGATGATTGGATGTATTTCTTTTAAACATGGAAGACATACTCAGCATTATAAAACTGTTCATGAATATAATCATTTTTTCAGTTGGTTGGGATAATGAAAATAAATTGAAGATATGATTATTGAAGATATGATTATTGTAATAGGATATGAAAGATGTAGTAGGCTTTCTTTTTTGATTAACAGCCACATGTTAATATTCCCATATCAATAAAAAATATATCAGGTGCTGATAAACCCATTTCTAATAACAGTGTATTTAGTATGCAAATATATTGAAATATAATATTATACTTCAATATAATATACTGTATATAATATGTGGTTAATATAATATTGAAATACTGTATAAACAGCTCTATGCTTTATGTATCTCTAGACAAAGGTGCAAATATTTATAGTTATTCCAGTAAACAGTGTAGAATACAGTAGTTATTAGAGATACTGTTATTACAGTACATCTAGATTTTAAATTGGTAGTAAAATTACAATATGATTTATCTGTTTGAGACTGATTTACAGGTAGAAAGAATGAGAGAATCTTACCAAGTTGTTGTTATAATCATAGTCACAGTACACCCTGCTGCAGATACTGCCCCTGTAGATGAAATAAACAGACACCCACGCTTAAGCTTTTTAGGTGCTATAATAAATTCATATTGAATGCAAATGTACACCTGTTTATCCATATGGCACTACAATTTTTTTTTCTAATTCTAGCAAGCATTCCTCAGCTTGTGGAGACCATAGGTACTTAAAATCTCTTGCAATGTTCAAGAGTTACAATAAATAATTAAGCTACTAATACAGACCTTTCAGTGTCAGTAGGGAGTCTGAGGAAAGATGCTTCAGCTTCTGTCCTGTGTGCTGATATTAGCTGTTTAGATATTTCACTGTAGGGACTTAAATTTCTTTTTTGGGGTCTTTTTACAGGACTTCTTTGGGCAGCTTGACCAGAGGGTCTTGAATACATTCCTAAAGGCCTGTGATGAGCTCACTGATATTCTGCCAGAACAGGAACAGCAGAGCCTGCAGGAAACTGTGCGGAAACTTCACAAACAATGGAAGGTCAGACCAGTGTTCTCCTGTATAACATGAAAGCTCAGACTTTCCATTGTACCATGTAAAACTGTGTCAGTCTTGATTTGTTGAGTTTGCCAGCAACAACAGGGGTCACTAATACATTTAAAAAAAATACTTTAAAAGGTTGGCATACACCTGTATTACATTTTAATTTAATTTCCATCACTACTGCACACAGTGTGAATAAATAAACATACACCATACAGAAGAAATATCACTTAGCCAAAACAATATTAACCTAGAATCTTACTGTATATGGTATTTTGACACAACAGTAGTTTTGTTCTTTTACTGTAGGTTAATGTATAACACAGTGAGATTTCGATTAGTAGAGTTTAAAAAACAAAGAGTTTTCTACCTAGATGCAGAGATTTAATTAAGATTTAATTTCATGCCACCTCAGAACAAAAAAAATGTTCTTTGTTTAGCCAAGACAGGCTACTTCTTCGTACTGAGTTTTGTGGATTGCAACATGATTACAGCACATCACCAAAGTAGTTTATGTTATGATATTCTGTGATGGGTGTCATGCTATGCACTGACCAAGACCAAGATTTTACATCTGAATAAAATAAATTAATACTGAATTACACAAGGTTTTGCAATATTGTATGATAAATCAACTGGTTCCCAAATGTGATTTATTTCTAGATTCGTATATTATTTATTATATATTATATTACTTATCTTATATTATCTTATTATTTATCTTATATTACTTGATTGTATGTTATTAGTCCAGGCTGTTTTTTTCCTAAATTGCATTGCATGTGCAGAGAGTTAGTGTGATCGTGGGCTGTAGAATATTGTAAGATTGTTTAGCATGACTTTTTGTCTTAATTTTTACATTCTAAGCATATTTCATCTCCATTCACTGAATTGCTTGAGTTGAAAGACTTACTCTTTGCCAGCAACGAATACATCAAAAACAAAATCCAGCTTTCTGAAACAGCTTCAATTGCCACGTTCATTTCTCTCATCTGTTGTCTCTCATCTACAGGATCTGCAAGCCGAAGCACCCTATCATTTGCTGCATCTGAAGATTGAGGTGGAGAAGAGCCGTTTGCAGTTGTCTCTGGAGGAGTGTAGCTCTGAGCTGGCTCGGGAGAATAAAGCCCTCCCCACGGCCGGCAGCGAGAGGCTCATCCGGGAGCACAGGGTGAGGATGGGCACTAGATCACTGCTCTCGTTTCTAACATCCCTCCGCCTTGTGGGCATCATTTCATCTCTCTTGCCAAAGGCATTTTGAATCTGGAGAAGTCCAACTTTCATGGTTATTTCATGGAAAGAAATTACCACCCTTGTGCCTCTGAAACATCAATGTAACAGCTCAATTAATGATGCCCTTCCTGTGATAGTAAAAGCCCGTGTTTAATTGGCTGATGTCCATATATCCATACATTAGATCCTGGTTCTTTTTGGTTAATAATGGAGATCCTGAGGATTGTGTGTTAAGATTAATAACTGAGCCCTATACTAAGCATGACCCTTTTGATACAATTCCTGCAGTATAACCCAGTCCTGTTTGAATGCTAGCTCTCCCACAGATCCTCTTTTTTAAAGGACCCACAAGTTATTGCTGGAGTTCCCAGCAACCCCTGTGTCATCACTGTGAACACTGGACCCCTGTTGTTCAGGACATGTATTTTTTGGAACTCCTGTATCACTGTTAGATTTGCTGCGTCAATAATGATCTTGTCTCATCTGGTAACTAGACAGAACTTGTTCATTTTGTTAATGTATAAACATAAAATACACTAATATTCAAAACTTCAAGGAAGTGAATTTATTTTACTGTAACATAACTTTAAAAGATATATCTGTCGGAGACAGAGAATTTCTGATAGTTGCTATAAATGTTTATCGGTGACCCATAGCTTACAAGTGCAGGGTTTCACAGCAGAGGGGGTCTCGGCGAGACACTGAGAGAATTAGGTTGAACTTAATTAACGGTTGAACTGGATGTTTGACCCACTGGTGCTGTCTAGGCTTTCTTCAGGGAGAAGGGACCGCAGCAGTTGAGTGAGAAGAGACTCCAGCTGATCGAGGAGCTCTGCCAGAAGCTTCCGGAAGGGGACCCAGCCCGCAGTGCTGTAGGGTTCTCCAAGAGGGCCCTCGCTGACCTCAAAACTCAGATCGACAGCACCCACCAGAAACTGCTTCAGCATCCAGACAAATGGAAGGAGTTCAACTCCAGGTGAGAGCATTGCTGTGCTCAATCTAATCCAGATCTTGACAGTTTACACACAGGCAACAACAACAAAACCCAACAGAAGCACTGATGTACCAAGTTTAAAGAACTTGCCTTATGCTTTTCTAAGTTGCTTCTCATTTTAAAAATCCTCTTTATTATACTCTGGCAAATATTTTGCTTCCAAATCTGAAGACTGTGCAATTTTAATTTTAAGGCCAAGTGAATCACTAGTTTAATATCTGAATGTGCTTCTTCACATAATGCCACTGTGATCACTATGCTGTTTCGTTTTGGTGTTCTTTTCCTTTCAGATTCTCAGAGCTCTCAGCCTGGCTTTCAGCAAAGGAAAGTCAACTGAGATTGCTGCGTAATAGAGCCAGTGACCCAAGCAAGTATGGGCAAGTGAAAACGACAATAGAGGTAATTCTTTTGCCAGGCTGATGGACTTTATTGAGTGTTACTGTATGTTGTTTCCGGTAATATAGGTCCTGGAAACTGATATTCCCTGTTAACACTGAAAAAGAATAATTTCTTTGTATTATTTTTATACACCCATATCTTTTATTTTACGAACATAGTTCGCTCCCAGCAACCCTTTAGAATAGAGAAAATTAATTAAAAGAAAAACCTGTTTCCATTACTTCTTATGGGGGAAAATTACAGTCTGTTCTGGGCCTCAAAATGTCATCCCTCCTTTAAGTTTTTCCACCAAAAAAGACAATAATAATTAACATTCATACTGCAGTTTGTCTTTTTTGTAATGAAAAATCCTGCTTACCTAGTTAGACATCATTAATCATGACATAAGTACTGTACTGTAACCAATTCATTTGCTTTTTGTGTAACTATGCACGCAAATTTCTTAACACTTTCTGGGTCCTTGATGAAGTCTAAACCACAAATATTCTTTTGAAAAGTTAGAGCGCACACAATAGCATACAATGCATGAAGCAAGATGTGGTGAACTCACACGTCTCTTGTATCACTCCGTCGGCTCAGTGCTGGCTCTCACCCATACCAGTTAGTGGAATGTGATGCGAACACTCAATATGAAATGAGTAGTATGACACCCTCAATCTTCATTTGGCAGAGGTTTCGAAAAGCTTCTTCATAGTTTCGAAGTTGGCTTTTGTTATTTGAAATGTGGGTAACAATCCACATGCTTCACAGTATCAAATTTTCATAAAAGCAACATTCATAAAAAAAGGATTGGGGGTACTTAACTAGTATTAAGAATATAAATAAACAATATAATTTTATTGTCTGATTTGTATGGAAGTTCTTAGGCAGCATTACCATGTGTTTTGCATTCACCAGTACCATAAAATGTTAATTTGTTTTTTTTTTTGCTACTGTTAAGGACAAGTGAAATTATACAAATTCACAACAAAGGTCTAGGTAATATGTCTCTGTGAACATGTTACCTGCAAGTGCATTCTTTTAGGTACAGGAGGCCTTGAAACTGAACTATGAAGACATTTGCTTGAATTATATGATTCATATTAGAAGAGGGCAGTGAATCACTAAGAAACGTGTTAAATCTTAGCTCAAATAGAGTGATCCCAACGAATATGTGTGCTGTATAGGAGCTACGGCACGATGCCGAGGAACAGGAGAGCAATCTGAGCTGGCTGAAGTCACGTCTCGACACGCTGATTGAGGTCTGTATGGAGAGTGAGGCGAAGAGGCAGTCCGGAGCACTGACTAAGCTTTCCAATGACTTCAGGGCTCTCCTCACGTCACTCACCGAAGTGAGTAAATAGAACAGCTCTTCCTTTTTCACTTGCGTTTTCTGCAGTATAATTTCATGTTATGTTTTTATATCGCTCTAAAACAAAAAAACATACAAAAAAACAGGCCCTTTAAAAATGTTTTGACTCATACATTGCTAAATAGACACTCCAAGATGTGCTTATACTTCTTTGTCATTCTTTGCTATTTTTGCTTTTATTTGTCCTTTACCAATATTATCTCTTGCTAAGACCCCAGTTTCGGGATTAAGTCCTGTATCAGTTACTTGCATGTAATGAGAACCATTTAAGTAAAAAAAACAGTGTCTTTGATTTTTAAATTATACTTTACCTCGGAATGTCCCATTCAGACCAGTTTTTTCCTAAGTAGGAGTTAGCATGTACGTAAATGCTTTATGCTATCCATCCATTTTCTGACTACATTATCCAATTTAGAGTTGGAAGGGGACTGGAGTCCATCACTGGAGGAATGTCAGTCCATCACTGGGCACATGCAGACACACACACACACACACACACTCTAACCAGGGCCAATTTTTCTCAGAAGTCAATTAACCTGCCAGTATGTCTTTGGACTGTGGGAGAGCACTGGAGCACTGGAGAACATGGGGAGAACATACAGACTCCACACAGATAGTACCTCAGGTCTAGAATTGAACCCAGGGACCTGGCTCTGTGAGGCAGCAATGCTAAACACTGCACTGCCGTGACACCTAAATGTTCAACCATAAAATCTTTCCCCATCAATGCTGCTTTATACTATGTGATCCTGAGTTTAATCCACCTTCATTTTTTGTGGCCATGACAAGGATTTTGGCAGCGTTCTGTGTTTGGTGACTACTGTCTCCTGTCCTGTGCTCCTTGCAGTCTGAGAAGGTGGTGTCTGCAGTGGGAGACTGCGTCCAGTTCAAACAGGAGGTTAAGAACGCTCTGGAGGAGCTTTTTCAAGGGCAGAAAGAGGCCCAGGCTGAAGCTTACAAAATTCTGGACTCAGACAATGTGAGGGAGGCACAGCAGCTGCTTCTCCTTCACCAGGTTAGTGATGCTGTTTCAGCTGATCTCACACTGCCAATGTTGGTGAATCTATTGCCCCCTGGTGGACCAAAACCTCATACTGTAAAGTCATCACAGTAGGAACTACTGTAGTAGGAACTTCAACCTGCAATACAGTGTGGCTGTCGGGATCAACAGTAGTACAGTTGCTCCCTTTTTGAATGACAGCATGTCATTTATTGCCACAGTCTGTACATTGTACCAGCTCATGGGGTGTTCTTGCACTTGCAGCAACAGCTAAAGAGGTTGCGGGCAAAAAAGAAGGATGTGCAACAGCAGATTGCCCGGGGACAGCAGCTGCAGACTGAGGAAGGTCTTGCCAGCTCCCTGCATCCAGACTTGCAGGAGCTGGAGAGCACCCTGAAGAAAATGGAGCACACCATGGAGACACAGGAGCAGAGCCTGCAGGTGACCAGTGTCCCTTTTTGGTTGGTCATGTAATACCCTAATGGGCACTTTCCAGGCCTATCTGCCCTCTTTTACTATAAAAGCATCCAAGAATCCAGCGATAAAGACCAAAAGATGGCGGAGTAACCTCCTTTGTATCTCGAAAGTGTATCATAGATTGGTTTTCTTATCGCAATGAGACCATGTATACTGTAGGTCACACAGACTTCAGAAGAGGGCCTCAAATTTAATCCTGGAGTTTCAGGTTAAAGAATCCAAAAAATAAAAAATGTTGCAAAAGCAGGAAATTATGGAATAGGGGAAAGGTTTTCAAAAAATTGAAAGTTCTAACAGTAACTTTAGGGAAAGCTGGAAAGCTGGCAATAGCATATTTGGGAATAGATATATATTCCACTGGTTTAACCCTTTTCTTTTCTTGTGTGTGTTTGTTTGGGATTGTTTTGTTCTCTGACACCAAGGCAACTCTGTGTGAGTGGCAGCAGTTTGAGGGGGAGCGTGAGGCGGTGGAGGAGTTTGTGAGCAGGGCCAGCTGCGCCCTTGAGCCAGGCCTCACCTTCAGCAGCCTGGAGAGCCTGTCATCCGAGCTGGAACAAACCCGGGTGAGAGGCGGGAGCCTGAAACGCATCCTGGTGACCGTACCGAAACCTAGATCACCTTGGTGTTTCGTCATATTCTCTTATACTGTATACTGTATTTTATTCTTCCTGTCAAATCACTGTTTTGTCAGTTAGGTTCTCTGAAATGATGTTTTTAAGTGAGGTTTCAATTAGTCTGGCACAGAAAATAATCTGTGAATGCTGTAAAATCATCCATGGAAAACACAGATCTGTAGCAATTTCATATTAATGCAAAATATTTCTTGTAAGTTTCAAATCTTCCCATAGGTTCAGCACTATTTAAGAAGGATGAACTAGGGTGGTATCAAAAAAGCTTTTATCATCAAATAATGCTCTAGCATCGTTGGTTGAATACCATCTTGCAGAAAGGGAAACCTTTATAATGTCATGTCATGTCATTTGCCAAACCGCTTTATACCATATGGTGTCACGGGAAGCCGGAGCCTACCCGGCAAGCAATGAGCCCAAGGCAGGGTACAGCCTATACAGGGCGCCACTCCATCGCAGGGCAAGTGCAAGCCAATCATACATGTGGACTATTTGGAGGCCACGGTAAAGGCCGAGGGGGGAAATTTGACCCAGACACTGGGATAACTTCCTATTCTTATTGAGAAATGCCCGTGGATCTTTAATGACCACTGAGAGTCAGGACCTCGGTTTAACGTCTCATCTGAAAGATGGCGCCCACTACAGTAGAGTGTCCCCCCCACTATACCAGAGTATTAGGACCCCCACAGACCGCAGGGTGGGCACCTCCCGCTGGTCCCACTAACACCACTCCAGCAGCAACTACAGGTTTTCCCAGGAGGTCTCCCATCCAAGTACTGACCAGCTCAACCCTGCTTAGCTTCAGTGGGTAGCCAGTTGAGAGCTGCAGGTTGATATGGTTGCTGGCCATCTGCATATTGTACAAGGTGAAAATCTTTATTAGGAACTACTATAATAAATTGCTAACATGAAGTGTGGTCAATCTGTTATTGTTGTATGTTGTACAGTATACTATAATTTTTGGATGTATGGCTATGAATGTATTGTAAGAGCTATGGCTGGATACTGAAGCCCATGTCTTTGTACGCAAACAGGAGCTGTCCAGACAGAGTGAGGTACAGGCAGCAAAAGTGGAGACCCTGCTGAAGGGATCTAGTGAAATACAGCTGGGGCCCAAAAATCAGATCCGTCTCCAGGAGCAAGCCAGGGCCATCTATGAACAAGTTAGCAGAGTGGAGAGTGGCCTCAAGAAAGGGTAATTCATTTAAAGAGCACTATATTTGTGAAATCCATTCCTCCCTTAGAGAAAAATACATAGTTTGTTTTTTTAAAATACATTTATCAAGAGTTGGAGCTCAGTGATTACGGGTTTGCACATGAGTCATGTTGCTAGCTGACAGTGGGGTTCCCCAGGGGGCAGAGCCACAACTGGGGAGTGGGGGGTGAGACCAGTCAGCCACGCCTCTCTTGGCTCTTAGTGGCACAGCGAACCCTGCAACCTCCCGGGTGGTTGCAGGTTTGAGGTGCTCTCAGTGTGGGACACATCTCTGCTATTCTGTGCTGTTGACTGTGATGTTAAAAGACTAGCATCTAACCAACACGGCCTTGATAGTAACCCAGTGCAAAAGTAGACATACTGTAAAGGAACAAGTAATAGGTTTATTCCATGCTGAAAAAAAGAAGAAAGAGAACACAATGTTTCGGCCGTGGAGCCTTCTTCAGCACACCTGAAGAGGGCTCCACGGCCGAAACGTTGTGTTCTCTTTCTTCTTTTTTTCAGCATGGAATAAACTTATTACTTGTTCCTTTGCAGCCTACGCATGCTAATGCAGCTACCCACCTGACATACTGTAAATATACATTTCTACCAAGAATAAAACTTACCTCTCATAACTTGGGTTGGCCTTATTTTTTATTTAAATCATTTTCTGTATTTATAGTATACTATGGCTATTACATTTTCCAATACACTTAACCTCATGTTAATAATTAATAAAATATGAATCATATTGATAGAAATGTGTTACCCTTAATAACATTGTTCAGAGTATTTTTCATTTATTAGAAGCAGCACATTTTTTCTTTAAATTAATTGCTCATGCTTTTGTGGGTTTCTTCTTTATTAAACTCCCACAATTGTTTTACAGTGTTTCACAACTGGAAACAATGAAAATGAAATGGGAGCAATTTGGCAATGATTTTGAGGCCTTTTCAGTGTGGATCACTGAAAAGGAGAAAGAGCTCGATACCATCAGTTCCTCCTCCCTTCTGCTTGAACAGCAGATCAGCAAAGTCAAGGTGAGCACAGAGCACGATGAACACGGATAACTATGTTTAATGACCAATTACCAAGCACATAATCGTGTTTCAGTCCTTTCTGTCAGTAATTTTATCAGATTTACTAGTCAGCAGTGAATAATTGAGTCTCCTGCAATCATTCAGGCTGTGAGACAGGAACTGGAGGAGAGGGCCACTGTCCTGCCCACGCTGGAGACTGAGTCTCAAGCTCTGAGCCAGTTTGTGTCTCAAGGCGAAGCTGCCCGTATCAAGGCCAGGCTGGCTCAGATCGGCAGATATTGGGAGGAGCTGAAAGAGCACACAGAGACCCTGGAGGCCATGCTGCAGGAGAGTGTTTCCCAGCAGCAGAGGTTTCACCACAGCCTCTCACAGGTACTGTACCCACTGACAGAGGGGCCTGCTGAGATACACATGTCAAAGGGCAACTCAAGGGCAATGTTGCCTGGTACTGCCATTGCATAACGGAGTGCATGATGTCTGCTAATGAAACCTGGAAAACAGTTGAAAAGAATATAGTAGAAGTTATGAGCAAAGTGAAAGGTTAACACGAGTGTGGGGGGGGGGGGACTGTTCTTTTTACAAATAGTATTTTCTCACATCAAATCACTTTTATTAGCAGCTTATCGGATTCAAGGTCATGGTGCCTATCCCAGGAAATTCTGGGTGCAAGGCGGATACACCCTGAACAGAATGCCAGTCCATAGCGGGTCACACACATGTAAACTTGCACAGACTCCACCCACACCCACATGGAGAGAACATGCAGTCTCCACACAGATGTGGAGTAGTACCCCAGTAGCACAGTAGCTATACGGTAGCACCCCAGGAATTGAACCCATGGCCCCAGCTCTGCTAGGCAAGAATGCTAGCCACTGTCCTACCTTAGCCCCTTTGATAGAATTTTATATTTTCTGTTTATAAGGTGAAGAGAGTATTTTGAATTGGATTTTTTTAAATGTCATAAGTTTTAATTTTAAGGTTACAATAAGGTTTCTTTTATGCCAGTTTGTCATTTCACCAGATCACTTTGTGCTTATGCTTTTCCTGTTTTTTATTTCATTGATCCCCCTTAAGGTCCAACAAACCTTGAAAGACCACAAAACCAAACTGGATAGCCCAATCACATCTTGTTCATCATCAACAGAGACGTACAAAGTGCTCCAGGAGCACATGGTAATATATTTTAGCACGTTTTATTGCAGTATGTTCATTTTTGATACCTATAATGTTTTTCAAGGCTGAATTTACTTGCGGCCCAGAAAAGCTTCGATACCTGTATTTTCCATTATTGTGCTTATACAATGTGATTTGATTCTCTTTGTTCCAAATTCTTTTCATGTGAAAAATCGTCTGACTTCTAACATAAATCCTTACAAAAGAAATGCAAAGTAAGAGCCTTGACAGTTGTGCTTCACTGTTGCTGTCCATATTATGTCCAGTGTGGTCTAGTGTTTGGGGGGTGTAGAATGTAATGCCCCTGGGGGTGTTCTCCACAGGATGTGATCCAGGCTCTGGAGCAGCTCAAGGGCACTGTGGCATCACTGTTGGCTGGGGCCCGCAGGCTCAGTGACCGAGAGCAGGCAGAGCAGGAGGTGGAAGCCCTGCAGCAGCAGTATGAAGAGGGGCTTCAACAAGCCAAGGACAAGCAGACCCAGTTGGAAACCCTCTTGTCTCTGTGGCAAAAGTAAGGGAGTGGTGTTTCAACAGATGCATTTTTCTTATTCACCAACATTTTATTGAAGGGATGGCTGCTGAAGAGATCAGGTGTTTACTTCTTCAGGTTCACATACTGTATATTCAACATGCTGTGCACACCTGTTAGTAGTATGATGCAAGTGTTTTGAACAATTCTGAATGATTGTAAGGATTGCTATGAGCTTCTAACACAAATGCGTGGATTTGTAAAAGGAGATTGCATGCCAATATTTTTTCTGTGCATAAATGATGTCTTCATGCTTTTTTCACTTGACTTAACTATTATTTATTGATTTGGTGCTATAACTTTTAAAATTAGATCCCTGCAATGGAACATTACATCATACAGGAACACTGTGATCCTAGGGATGAATGTGCGTCTTTTTTTCCAGATGCATGTGTACAGATGATATTCTAGCAATATTCTAAGTGATATTTCTTAGAATATATTTATCAGTGCGAGAAAAAGCATTGGTTCATAATAGACACAGTATCACTATAATCAGGGAGCTAGTGCTGTACATAGCCTGGTCAAAGAATGCCCATTTTATGTACTTTATTTCAGGTATGAAAAAGAAAGATCTAGCTTTCAGTCCTGGCTAGAGCGATGTGAAACAATTTCTAAAACTGATTCCCAGTATTTGTCAGCCGAAAAATCCAAACTTCAATCTGAACTACAAGCTTTGCAGGTAATTTTGAACTTTATTCTTCTTTAGCACTTTAATCAATAATCTTAGACCTATTTAGTCGCACAAGGTCATTTCCTTTAGTAAACGGATATTAATTTAAAATAACAGCAGGCTACAGTACATTATCTGTGTCCAGAGTCCCCTTCAAAATGGGAAATACTTTAACCTTTAGTTAAATATGCTCTGTTGCAGTGCATTCATGGGCATGTTGGAAATTCTTGAAAATGTTTAATTTAACTGTATATGTTCACTAACATTGCATTTACTACAATTCTTAGGAGTTACAGTCTGAGGTTTCATCCCATGAATTAATCTACAAGAGCATTAGGGGTCTGGCCTCGTCTCTACACCCCTCTGCAGCACAAAACAGAGTCAAAGAGTTGTCTGAGGAACTGGACCAGCTTGAGAAGAGTTGGTGCTGTCAGAAGGAGGCCATACCACTCAGGTACGTGGACAAGAATCTGGATTCTAGTTTTACCACAGAACGGAAATAGTGGCATATCTAGCATTTCCAGGGAAAAAATGCAGATTACAGAAGATGCCCCTCACAGCGGCATCATACTGTGTTTTAGAATTTATATTTTTGTGAAGAAGCTGAAAGGCTTCTGTGATACCACACCTTGCATGATATGCAAATATACCATTTTCCAAACCATATACAAATAATGATTTATTTAGAGTTTGGCTCTGATGTGACTGGTAACCATTGTGAAATATTAGACAAATGAGAACCTGGCAGTTAGAAGTAGACGCAAGTATGTTAGAGCTGAGAAAATTATAATGCTAGCATGTGCTACTGTATAATTACCAAGTATACTCTGCCAGTATGTCAGGTATCTGTTCCCTTCCAGGAAATGTTTTTAATATGCTCTGTAAATTGCTGAATTTTAACCTACAGACTATTTTCTCTCATAACATGTCCTTGTTTAAGATGCTGAATATACATTACCACATTTTGAAGGTGATAAAATTTCCTGTGCATGTCACTGTTGCTTATTGTCAGGCAACTGTTTTGTATTTACTTCACTATTGAGCAGGGTATGTGAAATAAAATTTTTGGTTTCACAGGATGCAGATTCTTCACTCACACATGACTCAAATTGAGCAGTATGATGAGGCCTTGCTCCAGTTCTCTAACTGGATTGAACAGCTCCTCAGTGGACTCAAGGAAACCTCGGATGTGAAGGCAAACGATTTGAGGCCTGCACAGACTGAAAATAAGGTATACTACCTTGTGCTTTCCATATAAAATATCTGCCTTCTTTAATCTTTTAAGCTAAAATGCAACAAATGTTATTTTATATATTTTATTGCTTTCTGTATTTTTCAAGAGTATTTTTCCTGTATCTCGCAGGAAAAGTCAGCTGCAATTCAGAAACAAGCCTTTGAGAAAGAGGACCTTCAGCAACAGCTAGATAATCTGTGTGCCTCCTGTGACCCAGGGGAGCACCAGCTACTTCAGGGCAGGAAGGAAGATTGCTTCCAGCTCTTCAGAGAAGCCCAGCAGATCCTGGAGCGGAGACAAGAGTGCCTGGAGAAGCTAGAGGCTTTTCTGGACACCCACAGAGTAGCTGCCAACATGCTACAGAGTCTGAAGCAGACAGTGGAGAATGCCAGCAACTGGGACAAAGGCAAGACGGATTCACTACAGCAGGAGCTGAGGGACATCGTCCCCGATATCAACAAGCTGGAAAAGCTGGCCGTCAGTTTGGACGGTGGCCTCAGCAAGGCTCATTACCACCTGTGTGAGGGCTCATCAGAGCAGCGGACCTCCTGCAGAGCCCTGGCTGATGTCCTCATTGCCGAACTGGAGTTGGTGCAGAACCTCCTGGGAACAAAGCAGAGTGAGGCTGAAGCCTTGGAAACTCTCTGGAGTGCCTTCAGCGAACGCAAGGAGCAGCTGCTGAGGAGCATTGAGGACACTGAGGAAAAAGCTGACCATCAGGGGCTGAAAGAGCCCAGTCTCCTGGCTCTACAGCAAAGGTCTGAACCTCCAATCACCAGAAATAAACGAGCATAAAATGCAAGAAAAACCATAATAATTTCAAAGTACTTTTCTGCAGTGCAAAAGTTTGTACTACTTTCCTGCCATTTAGTTCCTTTTGGAAATCAAAACTACTTTTAAGCAAAAAAACACAACTTTTGCTTACCATACCTGTATTGTCTAAAGCTAAACTGGTATTCCCACACTTAAAATTACTTTCTGCAGATTAAGCACAAATTGTAGTCTGAAATGAAAATCATCCTATGACAATGTTTGTTTTTTAAGCAGTGGAAATATTTGCATATTTCATAGTTACAGATGAGCATATCAAACCAACTGATCTTCTACTTCTCTCTAGATACAGTACAGTAAGTTTACATTTTTCTTTTATTCTTGATCAGGTTGAGGTTTTTTAATGAATTGGAGGATGAGCTGAATTCCCACCATCATGAGGGCCAGTGGTTGAAAGATAAAGCGAAACAGCTGGCTCAGAAGGATTCTGGACTAGCTACTGAAGCACTCAAGGAAATTAGTCTGATAGAAGCAACATGGGAAGATACGAAGAGACTCATTAGTGACAAGTAAGTTTGCAACAGGATATGTATGATCCTGTCAGCACACAATCCTACATCGTAGTTTTCATACTGTTAAGATCATAAGTAATTTCTCCAGTTTTACTCAAAGGTATAGAACCAGACTTTGTTGGAAGAGACCTCACCCAAATCCAGTCCTGGAAGCAAAAGTACATTCTATGAATTGATAATAAAGGCTCCATTTTCCTAAACCTTATTAACTTGTAGTTTGATAATTCCAGATCTCAGAAGCTCAGCAAGGCTGGGCTTGGTCTGTATTTGGAATGGGAAACCAAGCTGCAGCTTAAAGTGGTGTTGGTAGACCAGTAGGTGGCGTTCGTCTTTCTGGACGAGAATTTCCAAAGCCAAAGACCACAATTTTCCATAGAGGGTGCCTTTTAGTATTTCATTTTAGATGTTAAAATGAAGTTCTGACTACTTGGTCACTAGAAAGCCCATGACACTACTGATGTGAGTATGGGTGTAAAATGCTATGTTTTGGGTTTAAATACCACTCTGTTCTTGCTCTGGTTGGGCTTGATACGCTCACTACATTTCTAATTTAGTTCAACTAGAAGTCATATTTCACTTCACTTAATCTGTGGTATAATGTAGCTGCTGACTGGTTATGGATGAAGTGGATCCCCTCCTAAGTGTGTGTAAACTGCTTTGAGATGCTTTGGGACAAAAGCTAAATGAATGCATGTAATTTAGATTTTGTCAGTAATTCATCTGAAGGTTAAGGAATTTGAGATTCGTTTTAATTTCAGAAGCAGCTGAATCAGTCATCCTAGTCAGACTTGGCCCTGAGTGGATTACTTTTTGTTTGAACATGAACATGAAGGCTCACCTTCCAAGGTTTTCTTGATGAAAGCCCGAAGGTGTCAGAAAGTAGATTGACGTCATAGGTACCTAAGCTGATAAGTAGGACTTATATACAAAGCCTTGTGGATGTGTGGGAAGTACCCTTATTTATGAATTTATGGACCAATTCTTGTACAACATGGGTTTCCTATGATTTCATTTTTAATTGCTTTTATATCATTTTATATTAGCACTGAGTGACTGACCTTAATGTTGTCTGTAGTTCTGTATTCATCAGCATGGAAAGCTCTTTAGTCTTCATTCATGGACCAAAACATAGAGTTAATTTACTACAATATGACAGTTTTTTTATGTGACTGCATTTATTGTCCAGTTCATTAAAACATTTAAAAATAAAAAATACAGTACCACATAATGAGATATTTATGTATATAAAATGATATATAATATATTTTATAAATAGACATAATTGAAGCAGTTGGTGCTTCAAAGACAAGGCAAGTGAAAAATGTACAACCATTTGAGTGTTTTGTGATTTATTTTTTATCACCTGCAATGCAGTCAGGAGCAGTGTAATGTGCTGGTGGATCTCATGAGGGAATACCAAAGCATGAAGTCCTCCATCAACAAGATAGTGGAGAGAGCTGAAAATGTGTCCGACATCAAATCTGCACTGAAGGACCAGGAGGACATCAGGAGAGTTCTGTCGAAGGTTAGCTGACACCTTCCTTTTCCTGTTACAAAGACCTTGAAAATGAGGGGAAATGCATTGCTTTTATACGGACTTACAACACAAGCTCTGTTACCAACTTAAGAATTTCTTGTTTTTTTACATTTCTGTTCCTAAAAATAAGTTCTATAGGAAACTTTTAAACAGCATCAATCAGAAAAGGCAAGTGTAAATATATTGACGATTACAGTGAAAATCAGGTTAAAAGTCTGCTTAAGTTTTTGTTGTTGAATTACAATAAACAGCCTTCGAAGATGGACTGGTGTCCCAACTAGGGTTGAGTGTCCACCTTTGAAGGTGTTTTCAAGTGTATGATCAAGTCTTTTCCACCTGACATCTTCACTTGTCACTGCCACATCTCGCATGTTATGCCCTTTTATTTAATTTTTTTTATTGATTTTCCCTTCCTCTCAGGTCATCTCTGCAAATTAAAATCTGTCTTCCAGATTCATTTACTTGTGTGGTTATATAAGGGTCTGTAGGATATTACCAAAAGCAGTTTGCCATACAAATTGAACAGTCAAGAGCAAACCTTCTCTGTCGTCTTATGAACTACTGTATCCTGCAAAACAGTTCCAGACAAATGGATATACCCATCTCTCATTTTACCAGCACGAAGCTGCAAAGGCGGAGATGACTGGAAGCCAAGAGGAGCTGGATGAATTCACCTTGAAAGGAAAACATCTCTTGAATGAGCTGAAGAAGATCCCAGACTGTGACACTCTAGTTGTGAGGAAGGACATGGAAGCCATTGTGGATCAGTGGCTTGATGTGAGTGCATTATGACGAAACAAGCCTCACTCCCCCTGCCCAAGGAAAAGACGGCCTGTATCTTTATACCTGTCGTAATTTAAATCCTAAAGCTGAATATCTGACACTAACTAGGCATTGTACCACAAGTGTACCATTATCAAATAAGTATGAGCTTTTACTATTTTAGAGTTTTGCACTAAAACAGCTGGAAACCAACAGATGGGATTATAAAAATGTATTAACTCATTTTATATGCAACTCACTTGCTTAATACTAGTACATTGTTCGCTTACAGTACTGTATATGCAGTATATAATTATATATTTACTGTAAATATACAAGATAATAACCTTCAACAGCAGCCAGTGTAGCGAAGCTAGTGTGGTGACGTCGGTGCCCTCACTGAATGTAGCAGGGTCCTCACCTGCCTGGGCTGGGGGAGGTCTCCTTTAGCTCATGCGGTTGGTGCCCTGTTGCGTTCCGCCGGAGACCCAAGTTCGCTCCCCAGGTGTGGGGGATGGAACGGGTGGCGGGGGACACGATCCCGCGCGGAACCATCACTATCACACCAGCAATTGAACTGCTCAGGTGACTGGTGATAAGTAACTGCTTTGCTCATGTGCCTTCCTGTGAAGTAGTCTTGAGTCTTTTCCGCCTGCTTTGTTAAACAAAAAGGAAGAATAGGCCTGCAATTCAGTACAATTTGGTATTTTTAAGTTTAGGTGAACTGAATAAGGGAAAGTGCTCCCATCATCACTACTTCTGTAGAAGATCATGTACCACACCACTTGACAGTGATCTCATCATAAATCTCGTATACCATTTTGCTTTCCACAGGTGTCAGAGAGAATAGATGAAAACATCGAACGGCTCAGTTTGAGTGTGGCTCTGTGGGAGGAGGTGCTTGGTATTAATGAAGAGATTGAATCCTGGTCCAACAGCTCTGTCACTGAGCTCAGCAACCAAATGAGCAACCTCAGCAGCAGCCAGAGACTGGAGGAGCGGCTCATGGAGTTTCAGGTCAGGACTGCTGGTTTTATCCCAGTCTGCTTACTGGCTTTCCTGTTGTAGAAGAGCTGGCAATCCTGCTTATTCCCGCTTGAAAAATCCTTGCCAAAATTGTATTGATAACGCTTATTTGCTTTTAATGGTAGTTTTTTCTTTTTTCACTTACAGTACCAATACCCACAGTAGTTGCTAGTTGCAGTTAATAAAAATTATGAATCAAAACTCCTGTAACTGCCTAATTGTTTCAAGCTCTTCCAAAGACACTGTACATAAAAAATTCTGATCTTAATGAATGTGCTATTCCAGACCGAGGTTGAGAATAAGGAGCAGAAGCTGAAGACCTTGACTGTAAAAGTGTCTGAGCTGAAGCAACACATCAAGAGTGAAGAACCTCCCACAGAACTACAGGTAACTCCTGTCTGACATGTCTTTGACCTAATAAAACAGTTTGAGTCTTCTGTTTTAATATACTTTAATTTTGAAACATCTTACAATGATGGATACTAAGGAAACAAGTATCCAACCCTCTTCTACAGGTGGAATAAAGGTTAGAAATCAATTCTAATCTCCCACCCCCCAATTTACAAATAACATGCCCTGTGAAATTGTGCTGCCACGTAATGTTTATGATTTGCAATCAGTTGGGAGTGTCAAAGCTTTGGTATGATGATACATAGTAAACTTAAAATCATTTTTGAAATATGAGAATGACTTTATTCCAGTTTTCCAATGAGCCATTCCCTTTGGTATTCCACAGTGAATGTTCTTTCTAGGGGATCACTTGTATTTTTTCAAAAATCAGTTTGGTGCTTTATGTTCCTGTTGGCATACAAGATGTTATGGCAAAGAACTCTAAAGAGCTGGGAAAAAAACAGAAAAGGTCTCCTCAAAGCCTAACTCTCAAAGCCTCTGAAGCTCACATCCATAAAGTGCCTTTTATAGAATAACTGCAACCAGCAAGCCATTCTTTTTTTGTTAATTTATAAAGGATAGAATGTCATTTAAAGGAAAACAACAGAACTCACTAGAATGCTAGTTTCACAAATGGTCCAGCTGCTTAGAAATGATATGCATTAAAAACTTTAGTCCCACATTCTGGAGCTACCACAGGTGGGTTACTTTAAAAACATGAAGAAAAAACAAATTCTAAATAATCTCCACATTACTGTTTTGTTTTATCGCTATGTTTTAGTTTCAGAATATTTTATTTTCTGTTTCTGTGAGAGACAAGCAAATTGTCATGTTTGCTAAATGCATCAAGGAGTGAGGAGCTGTGTTCAGTTTGAGATTTATCATACCTAGAATCTTAACCTTTGGAACTATACAGATGTGGATGTGCAAGACTTAAATTTCCTTCCAGTTGGTTTTAGAACTTTAGTGAGGGAGATGTGATGCAGTGGGTACTCCTGTGTCATCTCTTTCAGGTTCTTGAAGCTGATCTAAGGAAAAAGATTGGTCATGCCCAGGAGATATCTGAGCAAGCAAAGGGGACACTGAGAGACTTCAACTCACAGAAGCAGAGGCTGGAGGAATTCATTTCGCAAATGACAGACTGGCTGAGGAAAGTTGAACTGTCTCTGTCATCCACTCCACACAGCTCTGACCTCGAGGGCATTAGAAAAGTCAAGGTACAACATCTGACAATCTACAATAACAATCACAAAAGCAAACAAAATGTTTGTTTAAGTTATCATTACATATTTACACAATAAAAGCTGTCAGCCCACATCAGTTCTGATAGGAAAAATGAAGGTATAATCCAATGAGTATCTATCATGGTGAAACAAATGGATTTTTCTTGACTTTGTTTAGCTGTCAGAAACATTCAATTGTATGATTTTAGTATGATATGGGAACAATTCTCTTTTTCTCATTTCTCATTCTTTCATTCTTTTCATTGTGACATGAGTAGGAATTGGGTTGTATCAATTAAATTAAAGTGATGGCCATTGTGGCACATTAAAGGATCTTACCTTTCCCCCAGGATATCCAGAAAGAACTTCAGAACCAGCAAAGCAGTATCGACTCAACTCGGGAGAATCTCAACACTTTGTGCAGGAAGTATCCCTCCAGTGAACTGGAGAGGCTGGGATGTGCCCTAACTGAGCTCATCAAGAAATACGAGGCAGCAAATCAGCTCTCCACTAAGACTCTCTCCAGCCTGCAGGACAAACTCCAGCGGCACTTCAATGGTGAGAGTTCAGTATGCTGACAGGACTCTGAGGACCTCTAATTAAAAATTAATCTTCAAATCTTCCATAATAATCAATGTCTTTTAATCGAAAAATAAGTTGAATTAAATGTACTGATATGAAATTAATATATATGGACATTATAAGTCCTACATTACATTACTCTATTCTATAGAGTTTTCATGGAGATTTGGTTTGCCTTTCAAATTAACATTTCTGATACTCCTGTTATTTTGTGCTCTTTTGTAAGGGTAGTAATGCTTATTTTGAGTCTGTTTCACCAAAAGCTTCACTCCTTACAGAATCCTTACCTCCTATTTCCTGTAGTTATCAAAATCTGGTTGCTTACCAGTCACAATTTTGCTGCTAGACTGGCTTCATGGCAATTAAGTATAGAATCACATTCCCCAGCCAGTGTGTACAGTTCAGTATGCTTTATAAACTGGGTTTTGTTTTATTTGTTTTCATTTTCTTATAGCAGTTTTGCTTTGCTAGAATGAAATTGTATTGCAGGTCTTAAGCACTGGTTCTTGAGAATTGAGGCATCTGTAGCTCTCACTGAACCAATTGCCAGTTTTTACTAATTTATTAAATTCAAAGACAATGAAAAATATCAAGAACACTCCCTATCCCTGTATTCCTATAAATGAATGATTACCTAACTAGAAAAAACTGTGATTCCTCAATGTATTAAACTTTTAAGATAAGTGTTCAGGAATAAAACCGCAAGATTCAGAGGAGCTTCAGAAGTGAAACTTGGTGCTGCTGCATACAATAACATATTTGTTATGCATTCGCTGCTGCTTGGCCTTATGCAAAATTCTACACTTCAGCAGATGTTGCTGAGTGCTTATTTATTTGTGCTGTCAGAGTAAAGCACTGCAGCCTGTCTGCTAGCCAGCCACTGGATAATCCGTGGCTTTATAGGACAAGCTGTTGAGATCTGTGGCACTAAACATCACTTCTGAATCTCTCTTGCTTCTGCGTAGATCTCGTTCGGGAGTTTCACGGTTGGCTTTCCAGTCTGAAGGCAGGTGTTAAAGACTGCTCTGACAGAGCTGGGGACAGGAATGTAATGGACAATAAGCTGCAGAAACTAAAGGTAAAACCTACATTATTATTATTACCTTGTTATGCATCAGAGCACACGTCTAGAAACCACAGCTGTAATAAAACACCATGTTAATCACATCCTTTGGAGGCCTAGTGAATAGAAAATTAGCACAGAGATTATTTTACTCTAGCAAAAATCCCCATTAGAAACCTTTGTGGAATAAAGTTAATGATTGAGTCAATTTAATCATATGATTTATATTGCAGTGCATTGCCCATTCTTTCTGCCTTTTGATTTAATTAATTTTAGTGATAAAACGTACATAACAGTAAAAGATACATATTGTAGTTTAAAAAGCTGAGCGGATAATAGATAGTGATACTCTATGTAAACTGGTGTTTTGATTCTTATAGTGTTACTTGTGCTTTATTTCTTTCTGATTTTTGTATTTCCTCATTTAAGGTAGCCAGAGGTGGCAGTGATTCAGTCTGCATCTTGTCACTTGGTGCCTTTCCAGTCACAGGGCCCCTGTAAAGAAATGACTGCCGATGTCTTTCCTCTGTCCTGCAGGACGCTCTGAGCCGTGTTGGTGAAGGAGAGACGAAGCTGACCCTGGTGTGCGAGGAAGGGGAGAAGCTCCTGCTGCATTTGCCCAAAGCCAGCGCAGGACACGTCCAGCAGCAGCTGTCCTCCAGCCAGCAGGACTGGGACAGCTTTGTGGAGCAGTGCAGGCAGAACCAGCAGGCGCTTGAGGAGAGCACAGCTCAGCTCGCAGGGTGAGGCAGGCTATGCACACACTCTCTGAACCACCAGTGCAAGGGGGAGGTTGATACAGCTTCAAGTGCACAGGCTTGCTTTCATGGTCCTTTGTTACAACACGTAAAACTTTTTTCATCTAACCATGTCTTCTTCAAATTCAATGAAGTGGGACAGCAAGAGCCTATCTTATTATTATTATTATTATTATTGTTATTATTATTATTAATAATAATAATAATTCCTTACACTTATATAGCGGTTTTCTGGACACTCCACTCAAAGCACTTTAAATTGAGGTAATGGGGCTCCCCTCCACCACCACCACCAATGTGCAGCATCCAGCATCTTAGCAAACAACGGGTGAGAGGCGGAAAACACTCTGGACGTGTTGCCAGTCAGTTGCAGGGCACACTCTCACACCAGGATCAATTTTCCCAGTAGATAGTTTACCTACCAGCATGTTTTTGGGCTGTACTGCCCCGTAAAACTTTATTTTGCAATTTATTCTTCATTGAACCTGACAAATCTATGATTTCAACAGGATAGCTCAGTAATCCTAAGACCATAAAGCTCAAAGAACAGGATGTAATGGCAAATTTTGTTCATTTTAGACATTTTTCATATTTTACTGATTCTAAAGCACTTTTGAAATACATGTACAGTATGAAACTGATGTGCTTGTTAGAATCACTAGTGTGGAAATGTGATGTGGATTATAGCTTCATATCAGATTAGTATTATAAAGCATTCATTTTCTGCTGTTTGGCTTTTTTGTAGAAAGATTACCAGCGAAAGTTTGATTGTATATTCGGATTTGAATTGAACTGGTGGGTCTTTCTTGATTTAGATTCGAGAACCGGCTGAAGAAGCTGAGCTCATGGCTGGAGAAGATGGAAGAGAGTCTCAGCTCCAAGATGCTGGGAGAGCTGAAGCAAAACATTCCTGAGAAGAAGGCCGAGCTGGAGAAGGTGGAAGAATTTAACAATAAGTTGCTCAAAGAGAGGTTTGTGTTCAGAGAACATACAGGGAATCCGTTTGCCGTCTTTTATCGTTCACTTTACTGAAACAAAATGGCATTTATTCAGGGAGTGGTTTATCTTGGATTTATGTTGGAAGTACGGTATAAATAAGTTAAAACTTATTTATTTTCAAGGACATCCTTGTAACATGTTTAAGAGTAATAGAGGGGTACAGATGGGGCAGTTGAAGGTGTTTGATTATAATTACGTTACAAGTGATTTCAGTAGGGTGTACATTACTTATGAAGGGTTTTGTGAATGTCCACAAACAGGACATTATTTTAACATCTAATCTTAATGACAGCGACTGCTAATGCGGAGTGTTCTTTGTCACCATAGTGATATTTGAGAGGCCAAAGATTCTCTGGTGTAGTAGAAAGAAGACTTATGAAAGCAGATGCCTAAAATTCCTCACCTCCTTCCTCTGAAGAGTTAGAATTCAAAAGTGCAGGAGAGAAAAAGATGATTTTACTCACCTAATTGTCTTCTGTGCAGAGACTCCTTTGAGAGGCTGTGCCTGGAGTCTCAGGGCCTGAGTGAGTCTGGCCGTGGGGATGGAATGGAGGTTCGCATCACCACCCAGCTGCAGACAGACTACCAGAACCTGCTGAAAGGAGTAAAGGATCAGCTGCGCAGCTGCCAGGCAGTTTTGCAGGAACACCTGGCCTTTGAAGAGACCCTCCAGAACACCTGGACCTGGCTCAGAGGGGTACAGGACAGGCTGGCAGCTGTTAACACCTCCATTGGCAGTAAAGACACTCTGGAGAAGAGGCTCCTGCATGTACAGGTAAGAAGAGACTAAATACAGGAAACCTGGAGGCTATTAAATGAAGTGTTTTGTCAAATACAAATGTACATTGTTCTCCAAGTTCAGTATGGTGTGAAAAATTACTAGCTGCTAGAAATAAATAATGCATATCATATTTCACAATACATGTTCATTTAAATTAAATGACATGCATCAGTAACAGAACCACCTTCTGCTGCAAATTTAAGTAAAATTAAATAATTGTGTGACAGGAAATTTAAAATCCTAGTGGAAAGTGTCTCTCATCATGTCCGTGTTGAAACATGCACCACTGTCTGACACATCAGTTTTGTCTCTTAAGCCATTTTGCTGAGGTAAAGCATTTTTTTCCCTTCAGTTCATTGAGCACAGGGTGTACTTTTGAAAACGGTTTGCTGTTGCCTCAAAATGAAGGTATTGCTTGTCCTTGAAGGAAATCCTGCTGATGAAGGGTGAAGGCGAGGTGAAGTTGAACATGGCCATTGGGAAAGGGGAACAGACAATGAAGAGCAGCAATGAAGAAGGGCAGGAAGTGATCCGCTCTCAGCTTCAGAGCCTGAAGGATGCATGGGCCAATGTCATCATGACCTCTATGAGCTGCCACAGGTAGTGCGCTCCTCCTGCCTTTTTAACCTCTTTAAAACCCTTTATATATGTGTTAACATTATATATTGAAGAAATAGTCTGTGGAAAGATCAGTCATAGTTATCTTCTTTGTTTTTTTATATTTAGTTTTTTATACCTCCCAGTTAAGAAAGTTGTGCTATTCACTGCGCCCTTTATGGTTACAGCACTCATACAATTGCAGGAGGGAGGAGTGCTGTGCACAATTTCCTTCAAACAATGCACTGTCAGGAGCTTTTCACAGCCCAAGCCTCATAGTGTCAGTGCCAGGCTTGATTAAGAAATGGAGTGTTGATTTGTGTATTCTCACTGACAATGCTGGCAGTTCACAGGCCTGGGGCTTGCCACTATAACTGATGTGGTGGATTTGTTCATTCCCTGGCTATCTGAAGCCCAACCAGTCCTGGCAGGCACTCAGCCAATGTGCCATGCCTTGTGGGGCCTGGGTTACCATCGACAATGTACAGTAGCCTCAAACACAGAACTTTCCACATTGCAGGGCTCAACCTGGTCTCTGTATGAACTGAATTTTGACTTCCAGTTTTTGTAATGTATAAGACAGTTATATTTTTCTGAATTATTATAATTCTATTTTAGGCCATATAAAATCCAACTTTGTATGTACAATGGGAATGTGTCCCATTCTTCACAATAGAATAAAGGCCAAAAGATCCATCCTAGAATTAACTAGGGACTGACATTGGGTATAAGCCTTAATTTGCTTTTTGATCTGTACATTAAGCAGTTGCATTACTTGCCAGAAGGTGGCATTGTTGATAAGTGTAAGTCATTCAGATGGTATACAGAAAACACATTGCCTTTACTTCCAAATATAATTAATTAATCAAATCATTATCATGACTATCTTTTATTCTTTAATTTTTAATTGATGGAATATTTTATTAGCCATACAAATCTGAAATTAAACAACATATTAATTACTCAGATTTTAGCTATGTACCCTGGACAAGTTATGGAAGTTTGAATAAAAATGTCCGAGAATTATATTCCTTATCTCATTTTCTGGATACAAAATGTATTCCAAGGCAATACTGAATGAAAGAAGGTGTCCTTGATGGTCAGCAGAATCATGGCTTGAGGTTTTAAGGTTTTTTTTTAAAACTGAGGCTAAATTGTATTTTTTTGGTGAGAAATGTGTTTAAAACAGCCTCATCATTTTTTGATCATCATAGTGTTTGAAAAATGAAGTGTTAGAAACTGAGCGCAGCAGGTTAGCATGTTGAAGAATTTGACACGGAAGGTGTTAAACGTCCTGTGACTGGAGGTAAACAGAGAGCACAGGTGCAGTGTTCTAATTGGGAGAGCTGTAGCTCTGAGGAATAGGGGCGTTTTAATTCAGATCTCTCTGGCAGGCTGGAAGAACACCGGTTCACAGAACCGGTGATGAATAACTCTAGTCATGCCGGCGCTGGCGCGGCTCCTCGCCTGCTGCTGACTCCTCTTTGTGTGGCGCGGCGCTTGTGCGTGTGCCTGCGCCCGCGCCCTCTCCCTCAGCCGCTTGGAGTGGACCGTGGCTCAATGGAGCAGCTTCCTGGAGAGTGAGAGCCAGCTGCAGCAGTGGATGGAGTCTGTGGAGCAGGAGGTGGGGGTCCCCCTGCCGCCGCAGCCCGGGCTCAAGGAGAAAGCTGCCCAGCTGGACCGCTTTCGCGCCATCCTGGCTGATGTGGAGGAGCACTCCGCTGCCCTGAGCCGCCTCGCTGAGAAGGCTGCGGAGCTGTGCGAGAAAACCGGCGATGCCTCCTTCAGGGAGGAAGCACAGGCAGAGCTGAAGACGCAGTTTGGGGACATCACAGCAGTCGTCAGGGTAATCCCCAGTGTTGAATTCATACTTTTTAAATCATTTTCTCAACAACTTAGCATGTTACCACTGCAGTGACATTTGTAACATTGTTTTAGCCTACAGTACTAGGTGCTTTTACTTCTGTCTCTGTAGAGTTGTGTATGATTTGAGCAGCCTTTTGCTGGTTTCTTTAACAGCTTGTTTTTTTTTTTTGGTGCTAATAAAAAGCTTAGCCTTGGAAAACTAGTTTTTCTATATTGCTTCCTGAACCTTAAACAGTAATCCATCAGTGAACAGTAAAACGTCTATCTAAGTACTAATCTTGTAAATGTTTTATTTCTACCTATGTTTTTTGTTTTATTCCCAGAAACAAAGTAATGATCATATCAAACAACCGAAGAAAGACATTTGTTGTATTTAATATTTATCATGATTGATTTATTTACTTGTTTCTTTTCTTTTTTTGTCACTCCGTGTTCTTCAAAAGGAATGTTTGTTTGTTTTTTCTAACAGTGCCCCATTGACCATGTTTTGCTTCTCCCTTCTGCCACACAGGGTAAAGTGAAAAACATGGAAGAAATTGTTGAAGAGCACGAGCTCTATATGGAAGCTGTGAGAGAATTCTCTGACTGGCTGCATTCAGCCAAGGAAGAGCTCCAGCGCTGGTCAGACATGTCTGGGGATTTTGCTTCATTACAGAAAAAACTAAACAGAGTTCGGGTAAGAAGAAACAAAAGTATCCCTCTCAGTTCATTTTATCAAGGAGCTTCTATACAGTGCTGGAGTTCCATTTCATTTTGCAATGGTGAGATCTGAGTGGCCTCCTGGTGATTTGCTCTCTTTTGAAGTGTTTCCTGTCCATTCAACAGAATGAGAAGACATTCTTGATGATTGAATGTTTGTACGATTCCAAGACCCTATGGCTCTTATTTCAGAAAAAGAAGTTCTTGACACAGCTTTCGTAGACTGTACCTGTACAGAATACTTGAGAAGTTAGAACAAATGGGACAGTTTCCTCCAACATACAAAACTACATCTAATTTTGGACTAAATTCTCAATAAAGAAGTGAATTCATATTGAATATGAAGGATTTTCAATATAATTTATTCAGTCAGGTGGTAAAGATTTTTTACTCTACATAGTAATTATACTAATTGCAGTGTTCTTTTTATCATCCAATATTTTGCGGTATGTACTGTATTATGATATGGAATATATGCAGAGAGGTATAACATTATTGATAAAGACGTGCTGTTTGCCTTTGTGGTGTACTTTTTGACAGACTTTGAAAAAAAGTTACTGTTCCCAATAAGCCTTCTCATCTTTCCATTTCCACGTATTTGGCTTGCACAGTCCCAGATCGCAGCCCAGGGCCTTTTCCCATCACAGAGAGGAGAAGAAGAAAAAAAAATCCCCTCTCCCTGAACCCCGTTTGTTTAAGGCTGCAATGGCGCTAGTTACCGTAGCAACTTTCCATTGCAGGAACTGATTGATTCCAGGCCGAGTGGCAGAGGGAGGCTGAGCCGAGCGCAGCAGCGGGCTGCAGCGGCGAGGGAGCACACAGCTGGCAGCGGCTGCGAGCTGATAGACGGGGAGGAGGGGGCCCTGCTTTGTGCCTGGGAGCAGTGGGAGGGGAGCGCGCTGCAGACCCGCGAAAACCTGGAGAACGCCCTGAGTCAGATGGCCAGCTCCGAGCAGGAGTTCGCTGCCCAGGCTGCCCAGCTGGAGCAGGACTTGCAGGAGTTTGGGAATCATCTCAAGGACTGGAACCAAAAACTGAGCCAACTGGAGGGGAAAAACAGCAGTGAGGACGCGATACAGGGGTGGCAGATTGCTAAGGTAGGCGCAGCCCCTGGCACCAACTTTCAGTCGTTTTATTTACAGCATTTAAGCTGAAGAAGGTAAGGACCACCACAAACAAACCCCGCTGCAACCACGCCAAAACCACTTTCATTCTTCCCTAATTGTAAGCTGCCAACAACCGGTTGTTTACTTGAGGAGAACGTGCCTACGCCATTACCTTGTACTTTCAATTAAAAACAAAGGACATGCAGGACACTTTCATGGACGACGTCGTTGTAATTGTGCAGCAGTCCTAAACATTAAAAAAGGGTTTTATGATTTCATCCCTCTCTTCATCTCATTTCCATCTGTATATCCGGGGCTGTTTATATGCAGGGTAGTTTATGCAGCGTAATCTCCTGTGCAGCTGACTCTGGGAACAGCTGTATGCATGGTGACAGGGAGCAGTGGAGAGAATCAGAAGGGAAGAGGAAAGGCCTTTATATGGCAATCATTCTCCTTCAGTCTAAATTTGAGAGCCAGTTTTTTTCTTGGCAGTCATTTATGAAATTCAAAAATATTTCTGTGCTCAAATAGGTTTTTATTCCGCTGTTAAGGAGAAGCAGTTGCTGTCAGTGTCATTAAAAAGAGCTGTATTAAGCACATGTTCAGCATAACAGTTAATGATGTAGCGTTTCAACCCTTTTCATGTCCTCCCATTTCATTTAAACCCTGATTCTCTGTGTGTGGTCGTTTATTTTAATAGGAAACACTGGACAGTCTGATGAAAGCAGAGCCCATGTCAGACAGCCTGAAGACTCAGTTAAATGATCTCTGTCGATTCTCTAGAGACCTCAGTTCACAGTCGGAGAAAGTGTCTGCATTGATTAAAGTGTACAACAGGTAAGATAATTTTCTCATCTGGAAGACAGTAGGGCCCGATGAAAAATGTTGACTGCAACTATACTCTTATAATCCAAATAATCCCATATGCAAATTTTATGACTTGTATGTTTTATTTACAGAACAGTTTTGAAATATACAGCACATAACCTAAAAGTAAACATGCAGTGCAGGAAAGTGAGGTTGATATGATGGATTTAGCGTTCTTCATTCCATTGTCAAATTGCTGAATTACTGAGAATTATTGAACTTGGTGCTCTCTTACTGTTAAAATTATGCAGAATATTGTATGATTTTAAACATATGCCATTAACACAAGCAGACAACGTTTGGTGTAGAAACAGCAAAATGTATTGAAACAAATTGATTCACATTACTATTATTATTAACACCAACATCCATATTCAGCATCCATATAAGTTATAAACATGCATGTGTTACAGTTAGAATAAAGTTTAGATTTCACTGTTTAAATGGATATTATGGACTTTCTGAAATTCCTGCTTTCACATTCTTTTACATATCACAATCTGACCGTGATAACTTCTATCTTTTAGTTATTTCACAGCATACAGCATATACAACACATCATTTGTATAATGTGTCTTCAGAACACTTAATGTTTCTTGACGTTTCTGTTCTAAATGGCACATGTGTTATCTCATCGACTGTATGATGCTTTTCCTTTCTTTCAGTCTCAGCCTCCAGGCCTCTAAGGAATGTCAGAACAAGGAGAAGCTGCTGGACCAGAGATTCCGCACTGCTTTTCGAGACTTCCAGCAGTGGCTGGTCAATGCCAAAATCAACACTGCGAAGTGCTTTGACGTCCCGCAGAATATTAACGAGGCATCCACAGGCTTGCTGAAGATACAGGTAAGCAAGATACAATGGAAGAGCAACATGTATAAACATTATTTTTACAAGATTATTCTGTGACAGTGACTAGAAATACCTCTGCAGTGATACAAGCAGTGAGTGTACAAGAGAAAGTCTTTCTGTGTTGTGTAGGTCTTTATACATTTTTCTGAGTGTTATTGCAATGTAATTAAAGAAGTAAGTCTAATATGCCACATGGCTATAACTTCAAATTGATGCATGCACATTTTACTCTTTAAAATAAATCTTTGTGTAGTATCTTTCTGGAACTGGCCATTCTGATAAAAGTCAGTCTTGTATAAAAATGGTGTTTATAGCAAAACATGAACCAGTAAGCTAATCTTTTGTTCCCAGGTCCTCATATTTAATCTAATGAGTTCAATATTTGAATTATTTTTCTTTTGTTAAATTGTTTCTTTCTTCCAGTCTGTAAGAGAATTTATCATCTATACAGTTCAGTAGGTTTGTAAGGAGGATGCAGTGTGTCTCTATTATCGATTTTTGCATGTTCCTATGTAACTTATGAAGATAAAAAAGATTCTGTAATTTACCCTGCTGACAGCAATTCAAATCTTGATAGGTAACTTTATACAGAATATAATTTGTATGTGCTGTGCACTATTAATTCTTAAGTAGCCAGAGTAAAAAACATATTAACAATAGTTGTATGATAATGTGTTCTGTCACCACCAGGAATTCTTGAATGACAGAGAGCATGGCCAATCCAAGCTAAATGCTGTTATAATCAATGGAGAGCTACTGAGCAGGATTGTAACCAAAGATAAAGTAGACACCATTCAAGCCAAAGTGACCAGTGCCAGGGATGACTGGAAGACCCTGATGTCAAATCTGCACCAGAGAGAGACTGCATTGCAGGTCTGCAACTAGGTGTTTCCAAAACGTGCATTCTTTCAACTCTCTTCATCCAACTAAACTGCATTGCAGGTCACACTTCATATCAATGCAAATTTTAAGTAATGTAGAGAGTCATGTATAAAATTAAAGCTTGTATAATATAAAAACATTGCACATAGAAATAATTGCTTGAAGTGCCATGAAAAAGCCAGATAATTAAATTTTAGAAAGGTGTATCAGTATCATCAAGTAAATATGTACAGTTACACACATCTATGAAATCTTCCAAAACGACTGATTCTTATTTTCAATAACAGTCCTACTGAGAATGAAAACAATGTACACGATCTAAAAAATAGCAACAGAGACACTTTCTGTTTCATTTACTGATATGAAATAGGAATAAAGCCTGTTTTTGTGAATTACTGAGAAAGGGCGGGAAGCCGTGAGTGTCCACCCAGCTGTGTTGTTCATTCCAGAGTCTTCAGTCGCAGATGAAAGATTTTGAGGCCAGTGCAGAGCCTCTCCAGCAGTGGCTGAATGGCACTGAAACTGCAGTGCAGGAGAGCAGCACCCGTCTACACGACCTGCCCACCAAGAAGCAGGAGCTCCACAAGCTGCAGGTACTGTGCTGCCCCTTTCCTCCCGAAGCTCGCTGGGGGAACTCGGCTTACCCCATCAATCTAACACCGCAGCCATTAGCTCCAAGAACCGCAAGCTTTATCAACAGCTTTCTGTTTGCCAGTTGACAGCAGTCTTCTGCAGCAAAATATTAATGAAAGAATTTACTGTATCCACTATTGTTCTCACATCACACATCCACAGATAAATAGCAGAGGGGTAAGGCAGAAGGAAATCCTGTAAAGTGAGCTATTCAGTTTCGTGTGTAGGCATTTTTTTAAGCAGTCTCTCAGAAATAGCAGCCTTTTCTGAAAAGCTCCAATCAGCAGAAATAGAGTCCATGGACTCTGTAAAATTATTTTATGTAAATATAAAACGTAAGGACACCTTAGGGTTAGGAATAACTCGTATTTTCAAGCAGTATGGGCATAGATACCAGTAGGTTATGAAATGTGAGAGCAGGATTATTAAACCACCTTCATAACAGTCACATTAAATTAAATGCCTCTTCACGCGCCTGTACTAGACCATGAGATGGCTGTTTCTTTTGTTCTTTTGTACTGAAAACAGGGACATTATCAAAGCCTTTCTGCCATGTTTCTGCTCCCTCACCTGCAGCACCTTGCTTGAAAGCTTTGCTTTGCGTTAACAGTATTAACAGTTTTCCTTCTGAGGCACGGTGCTGTCGGCATGTAAACTCTGGAGATGCCAGCACCTGTCAGATTAATGAATGTTAATTGGCTTGTTGCAGTGTGTGGCATGCTTCTGTGATAACCTGCTTGTGCTTTACAGTCCGTCCTTGAGGAAATAGCCTCTCAGGAATTTCAGCTGAACAGGCTGAAAGAAAAGGCACAGCTGCTGTGGGAAGGACAAGCCACCGGCAAAAGCTTTATGCACCGAGTCTCTCAGTTGTCAGCACAGTATCTAGCTTTAAGCAACTTGACCAAGGTAATACTTGCCTGCCTTACTGTACGTTTGGTCTTTATCATGAGGTTATGGTGATTTGTGAAGGCGTGCATGTGTAAAAATGCGGTCTGTAATGTGACATCCTTGCAGTTCTTTTTTTTTTGGGCCTCCCCAGTGACCATCAGATTCTTACATTGAATTTAACTGTACTGTACAGCAGCCTCGTCCATATAGCTGCCCAAGGTGTCTAATTCTGACCTTCTCTCGATCGAGCTCACATGACACTAGAATGACACAAGTATGGCTGTAAGTTTCATTAGTTTAGTTTAATAATTTAATTTGGAATGTAGTCCACTGAACTCCACAAATTCACCACAGGGGAAACTCTGCATGGCTTGGGGTAAAAGAGGTTGAATTAAATAAAAATATCTTATTTTTTTTCATATCCTGGCTGTAAAGTGTGTTAAAGCAGAAGTGCTTAGATTTACCAACTTCACTGACCATCTATCTCAGTTTCTTCGTGATAGTCACTCATTTTGGAAGGCCACAGTCCTCTAGGTTTGTTTTATTGGTAATGTGTAACCCTTAATGAGTAAAGACTTTGAAATTGTGGTAATACAAATTAATGAAATGATCCATTGGCTCAAATAGTAAAAAATAGAAATAGAAAAATAAGATGGAATGAAAACCAGGAAGCATCGTGGACTTTCAGGGGCGGGAATGATTATTAGTGATCTATTTAAAAACATACCCTAACTACTATATAGCCCTAAGACATAAGAACATACAGGCTTTAATTATATAATTCCTGTACATTTTAAAAGCTTAAAAGCCATTTTAAAAGCTAGTTTTTCAAATTAAGTATAACAGATATTTAACAAAACATGTTGGTTATTATTAATTCTGTTTTTTTTAATTGACTGAAGAACCTTATTAGCATGTAAGCATTGTAATGGAGCTGCTAAAAGATGACAGGAAGTAAATGAAAAGGTGAGTGGTTCCATGTCAAGAGCAGAGCTTCGCTTTTTGGCTTTGAGAGTCCAGTACATTTAAATGAATGCAAATGAATGCATTTTTACTGTAGTCCTAATAATGTTACTAACTCTTCAAGTGTAATTACCTTCATATTATATTAAGTGCATACTAGCAAAGGGATAGCTCTTGTTATTTAATGGCTAGATATTATACTTTTTAATGATGCCAGGGACACTGTTTCAACCAAATGAGGACTGCACATTGAACACAGCAATACCCTGGGTTTAAAAAATGCTGTCCTGTTATTTTGTAGGAGAAGGTCTCCCGAATTGACAGGATTGTCACCGAGCACCAGCTCTTCTCTCAGGGGCTGAAAGAGCTGCAGAACTGGGTGGCAGATGTCAATGAAATGCTGCAAATGTACTGCACCCCTACTGCAGACAAAAACGTTTTGGACAGCAGGATGGTCAAACTGGAGGTAGGGAGGGGTCTACAAAAAGGCACTCTTTAGACCTAAGAGTGTAACTGAATCCCTAAAGGGACGTAGATTCCGTAGGTAGCTGCAATGTGCAAATTCAAGTGGAAGGATTGCTTTCATGTCTTCATAAACTTCAAATATTTTGGTTTGTAAAAAAATCTGCCCTTCTTGTTCTAGTAAAGTAGTGTTTTGTTTCTCAATTTGTTTTTAGGGCTTTACAAATTACCATCCAGAGGTCAGACTTGCAGTATGCAAATGAGCGATGCGTATGCTTAATTACCAAAAAACGCTGTTATTCTGCTGAACGTTTGGGGTGTTTGATGTTGGCAGGCACTGCTGGCTGCTCGCCAGGAGAAGGAGATCCAGCTGAAGATGCTGATCACCAGAGGGGAGTCAGTGCAGAGGAACACCTCTCCAGAAGGGGTTCCAGTCGTCCGGAAGCAGATCCAGGATCTGAAGGACTCCTGGGACTCCCTTCTCTCAGCTTCCATTCAGTGCAAGAGGTGGTCATTTGCTACCTCTTCCTATTCCTTTGCTCCCTGTTCATTTTTTTATTTCATTCTCATTTGTTAAGAGGTGATCTGGCAGAACAACCAAATCAGGGGGAAAAAAAAAACAAGTTGTTTTGTTAGTCCTAAATTGCCACAAGATTATAGACTGAAGCTTGTGTATGTTTTATTGTGGAACTTCCTCTGTGAAGTGGTAAAAAAAATCACTATACGTACTGTACAAATGGGATAAGCTGAACACGATTCAACAGACAACAACAGTACACACAATACACTCGCTCAATGTGACCACCGTTTGTACCGAACACAGTGGTCATGTTCAAAAGAATGTGGGGCACAGCTGCTTAATCTTGTTCATTCTGTTGTCTGAAGGGATAATGGAGCCTCCTGAATGGGCACCAAATTTTTATACAGTTTTCACAATGAGGTTCTGTGGATAAAGCCGCTACCTTGAAAAATCCCAAACATTGTGGTATATAGTACAAATTGCCCTGTAATATACAGTACAGATATTAAAAGATACACTAAGTGTACTGTGGTTTCTAATAGATTTTAGGCCTTATAACCTTTATCAGATGTTGCAAAAGCATACAGTATGTATAATGGTGAAGAGTCTTTAAATTAGCTTTTATTTAGATATTTGACATGTCACTTTGAATAAAAGACATTTGCACTGTATATTTAATAATCACCACAAAGCCATACAGTAAGTCTAGATTAGCAGTTTGTCCTGAACGATAGTAATGACGTGTTTTTCAGAGCTTTGTGATGGTGCAAAGGTGTAGAACTTTTTAGTAGGAAAATCTTACAATGCACAGATACGTTTCAGAGGTAACGAGCCTGTTTGTGACTTCAGCCAGCTGGAAGGAGCCCTGTCCCAGTGGACGAGTTACCAGGACGACGTGCGGCAGTTTGTCAGTTGGATGGAGCGTGTGGAGGAGGGCCTGGGCAGCGCTGACAAGCAGTATTCTGAGATGAGGGACAAGACAGCCAATCTGGGCAAGGCCAAGGTGCCTGCTGTTTTCCTTCTGTTTTCCTTCCAGGGAGTTGTTTATAATGTCGCAGTCCAATCTGCTGCTCTTCATTTTTAAACCAATCGTCTGACTTATGACCTCCTGCTTACAACTGGTCATGTCATTTCTGTCACTGTCACACAATTAGGCAATTTATTAAAAACAACTTATGTTATTTTGATCATGTAAATTGCACAGGTTATTTCAAATTAATTTCTATTTACTTGTGCAGCTCACAGTTTCAAAATGAAGTCTTCTAGCATCATTGGGCATCTTTTAAGACTAAGCTAAACTTAGCCTGCTTTCATTTTCTGTTTGTTTTTCATAGTGTGTGTGTGTGTGATGCTCTTTTAAACTTAACATTAGCTGATTGTGTTCAAAACACCACTACCACTCTGCTAATTAGGAAACAAGGTGAGCTGTTTTTTATTTTACTTCACAACTACTTGTGTACAGTAGTGCACAATAATCACAACTGTGATTTTTAAATATACTTCTGGTTAATAGTGTTCAAAACCTCCATACCGATAGGGCTACAGTTTATTAACATTAAACAAAGACCTGGTTAAGTGGTAAAGGGACTTAGCACTTCAGCACTGTAAACTTAACACAGAAAATGAGGAACACGAGTTATTTTGAAACATGCTTGGTGAAAAAACATTAATAAAAATGCAAAACTGCGATTGGCTTAATGCCCCTTAATCTTCATAAGACACATTTGCCATTTTGTAGTTCAAGGGTCAAGCGAAAAATTTGTTTTTTTCCCCTCACTTCAGCTCGTGCATGAAGAAGTGCTGAGTCACAGCAGCCTCCTGGAGACCATTGCCATGAAGGGCTCCAGCATGGCTGAGCATTATGTAACCCAGCTTGAGATCCAGGACCTGCAGGAACGCTACAGCACTGTTAAGGACAAGGCCAAGGTAGCACACCAGTGGAGTACTAGCAAGTCTCTAGGTGTAGCTGGCATTCCTTAAAGTTTGTTAAGAAGGTTGCTAAATATAAAGAAAACTACAGGGAATTATGTGTTTCAGGGGTGGTCTTATTTCATATCTCTTTATGCCAGTGCTTGTTTAGAACCATTTATGATCTTTATACCTTGACAAAATTGCAAATCTCTCACAGTGGTTTAAAATAATATTGCCTAATAATAATGTCTCATTCCATAAGACTTTCAACTCTTTACGGTAATGAAGAAGGGAAAAAAATGGAAGAGCTCTGTTAAAAGGGTCACTATATCATTGTCTGCCATTGCTCTTCATCACATCTTCGTCGTGGCAAAAGGCTTTTATTCCATTTCTACTTCATCTGGGCACAGATGACAGATGGCTGCTATATCCTGCTATGTCCTTTTAAAGTCACTCGAATGCTCTACCATCTGATATTACCATTTAGCACACAAGAAACGATTTAGAATAACAGGCAGAGATGCACTTCAGTATTTCTATAAAAAGTACTATTTGTGGAGAAGTGTTTAGGATTTCATCAAGCTTCACGCGGACATTTACCGTTTTTATACCGCTTTGGAAAAAGTATGCATTCAGATCTTGCTCCTGTAGTATTATTGCTGTGTTTTACCGCGTGTTGCTGGTGTGCTGCAGGCAGCTGTGGCCAAGGCTGAGGAGCTGGTGCTGGCGCACCAGGAGTACCAGCGTGGCCTGCACATGTTTGAGGACTGGCTGGAGCAGGAGCAGGAGCGCCTGGGCCGCTACTCCCAGCTGGAGGGCGATGTGGACACTCTGGAGAACACCCTGCGGGAACTGCAGGTCAGGAAATGGACTGCAAGCGATTGAACCTCCTAGAGATTAGTGCTGTCCAGAACTTCTGCGGGGTTCTCTCGTATTATTTTCCTAATGAATATTGTATTATCTTGGATTGGCCAGTAGATCTTTTTTTTTTTCTGGTGGTCATGGGCTATGTGTAGTTATGGCCCTAAGCCCCGTTGGTCTGTATTGTAGAAGCTGCAAGTGCGCTGCACTGAGGGCCAGGTACTGCTGAACTCGGTACTGAGCAGTCGGGAGCAGGTGATCCCCTGGGGAGTCCCACAGATCGAAGACCGCGCCCTGGAGACAGCGCAGCAGGAGTGGCAGGTGTATCAGACCCAGCTTGGGGACAGCAGGGCCCAACTCAACAGCACACTTGCCAAGCTGAGGCAAATGGAGCAGAAGTTCCAGCACCTGGACGAGTGGCTGAAGGGCATGGAGAGCAAGGGCAATATGCGCAGCGATAGGCACTCGGACAAGGCCACCAAAGAAGCACAGCTGCAGCTGCTGAAGGTACGGACTTTCAGGAAGGGGCCGTTTTCGGTATGCCTGCTTCTGCGTCTGCTCATCACTGTAGTACACCGGCTTAAATTTCTAGTTTTATGGTTGTTTCACCAGTAACATTCATTCATGCTTAAATATCTCATAAAGATCCCGCTGGCTGTTGGATGGTTATCCAGGTGGTTAGTGTTTGTGAAGTAGGGAGGTCTCACTGACCTGTGCACTTCTTGTCCAGAACTGGCATGAGGAGACACTGCTGTACAAAGACGAGGTGGAAGGGCTCAGCGCTCTGGCCCAGCAGGTTCTGGAGGAGACCCACATCAGCAGCAGAGTGAGCTCTCGAGCCACACAGCTCACTGCCCGCTACCAGGCAGTGCTGCTCCACCTGCAGGTCAGTGTATTCATATACAGTATCGGAGTGTCATTATACTGTGCTAAACAGACGCTTCGACCAATGCGGTTTGCAGATGGTATGTTCTCATGATTGGTTTTGCAATGATTTCTGTAGAAACAAAAGACTTACACAATTTGTAGATTGTGACACACTCTTCTTCCAAAGCAAATGTACTAGAATGCCCCGGTACAGTGTAGAAAGGTTCATTCATCGTGTTCAATGTCTATAGTCCTATACTGTTAAGGGGGATAATTATAAAAGATGGGACAAATCTGAACTAGGAAAGTACAGATCATTTTGTCAATTAGTTTTGTTGTCAATTTTGTGTTAGTTCTGTAAAGTTTGTTTTGTAAAAGTTCTGTAAACAATAGGTAAGCTAGAAAAATCCATTGCAGTTAACACGGACTTAGTGTTTAAATTATTGCAACAAGGATACTTGATAAATCTTATGAATACAAGCTTTATAAATCCTGTTGAATATACACACATGGATTGAAAACTAAGTAATTGGAAAAGACAAGCCAACATAAAGAACATACTGTAGATACAAGGTACAGGCCTGTTGAGAGTAGTGGTGTGTAATATGGGACTGTTGCTCTTTTAGATCTACAGTGCCCTCCAAATGTTTTGGAACAGTAAGATCTAAAGAAGTCTTTTTGCTTTACAATCAAGAAGTTTGTATTTGTAATGATGAAATTAATATGGATGATAACTTCAAAATAATATACATTTGATTTAGGTTGAATCCATGCATACTGTACATGGGGAAAATATTAGAAAG